AAAGTGATGCTACAAAAAAGGGGTTGGGGGGGAAGGCAACTATTTAAATTAAAAGCAAATCAGGATATTCCATACAATAAAACACATAAATTGTCTTATTTACACCAGTGATAACTTTTCTAGTAAAAATAACTCATATGAGTGTGGCAACTTAAACAATTTGAAAAAAAAATCCAAAATTCCACTCAATATTATAACACTATGCTTCAATGGAAAAAAAAAACTCCAGACACTAGATTCTCTATTTTAAAAAGTTATAATTTCAATGTTTGCAATAATAAACTGTAGTACACGAGTGTGCAAATATTTTCTGTGTTTATTTGTATCAGAAATATATATTAATATAATACATTTATATAATTTTCCAGATACTACATTATACATGAGAAAAACTTAAATAATATAAAGTCTCCTTCAAATGCTGAGATGGGTACAAAACTCAGAAACGTCCTCCTTTCCATATGCGGGCCAAAATATCCAACACACAAGTCATGATTTCGATGCCCTGTCTTGTTGGTTAGGTTGCCTCCTGGATGTTTAGACATATCAAGACCTGTCGAGGCCTCGTCTGACTTAGGAACTCCACTTCATTGGAGAGAAATCGCCTCAGAGATTCTAGAATGAATATGGAAACTCATTATTGTGAATTCATAAATACTGCTAGGCATGGGTACAAGGCCTGAGTGTCTCAACTGTTGTCTAGCTACCATGGGTGTTCATGACCCCTCCCTTTTGTTTGCAGCGCTCACCATTGGAAAAATGTACTCAGAAGGAAGGGGAGGAGCTGTCTTGCTTCCCCAATGCAGTCTTTGGCCTTGTGACTCAACCATGCTCCAACTCTTGCATCCTAACTACTGGTGCGAAGCACGGAGGGGGGGGGCATATTGTCACTCTTTTCTCGAACTCTGCCAGAAAGAGGGAAACGGTATTTTCCCAGATGTTCTGCTCCTTAAAGATTTATGAGTGCAACATGTTACAAAGGCTTTGGTGGCTGCTTAAAAAAAAATCAACACATCCATGAAAGAAAGCTATTTGCCTTCCTAACAGACCCTCTTTTTTCCCCTCATGCACACATCCCACAAAGAATATTTCAGAACTATATTTTTAATTAAAAAAAAAATCAGGCAGAAACAGACATTCTGCAGCCTAGCTTTGTCCAACTCCCGCCGCCACGTTGAGTGGCATCGGCCATAATGTCCTTTTGTATGCTGTTATTAAAGTGACAAAAGCCCCTTTCCCCCTTGATCTCCAGCCACCGTTTCTGCTTGCTGACCTTCTCTTCACTACGTGGTCCCCCTGCGTTGCTGGGCAGAGGGTGAGGCCTGGTGAGTGTCTCTTTTAGAGCGCTGTGCTGAACTCTGCAGCCCCAGACTCGTCACTGACCACTGCATCAGCCCCTTGGGGACAAACGCGGCCCCTTCTGGCACCCTGCAGGCTTTTCTACCACCCTGCAGGCTGGATGCGGCCCGTGGGTTGCAGTTTGGAAACCCCTGTTCTAGACTAAAGAGGAAAAAGGGGACATTTTACAGGGGGAGCCTCTAACTTTACAACGTTTACACCAAACACCCACATTCCTCACCCCATCATGGTTTTCAGACCCTGGTACAGAGTGCAAATTGCCAGTTATCTCCAGGACCATAAATGACGCTCCTCCTCCAATTTACAAAGACCAAAGAAAAAAAGAAAAAAAAAGACATTTTAATCACATTGGCTGAAATCCTGTCCTGTAAGCATCATCAGTCTTAGTGATTTTTTCACACATTAAAAAAAATCTACCCCCACCTCTCAACAGGAGGGGAATCCCGTCATTGTGGGGAAGCCACTGGGGGGGGGCCTTGAGGATGGTGGGAGAGGTATTTAATTTCAAGAAATCGCCACCAGCAGGATGACTTTGCCAGTGTCAACCATTTTAGGCAATTAAAGACTGATGTCATCAGTTTTATGGCGTATAACAATGCAAACTGGATTTCAACCAATATTGTTAATATCCCTACATCTGATTAGTATCGTTATCATTTGTGTGACTATAAATTTAAATAACCCCAAATCTGTTTTCTTTCTAAGCAGACACAGAAACATATTAGGGGCAACACATACAAATAACCTAAACCTCTCTTTCCTCGAGTTTCTAAAAGGAGAGCTACAACAACCCTGTGCTTGTAGTGTGAAGTGACGGATTCTCCTGGGTACAAAACAGAGCAGTGCGATTGCAGACAGCGAACGGTTCGGCACAGACAACGAAATGGAGCAGCTTCCTCCAGGTAACAGCAGCCATCAGAGGCTTGCAGAACTCACTTCCCTGTGTAGGTAGGTCTGCCATGATGGCTAGAGGTGGGTCTTCTGACTTTGACTGCAGTGTCCAATAAACAACTCTCCTCCACTGATGTTACTGGATGGTTTCAGGGGCTGATCCAATGGGGAAAGTGCACCTATGGGGCAGGAGCTCATGTAGCTTCTGCTCCGTTGCCTCAGGGATTGACCTGAATGCGTTCGTCTGTGTGTCTTCCCTCAACACCATAAGCTTGTTTATCGCCAAGATTGTCTAATGCCAAAGGCCTGCCTCTACTTACCTGTCCCTCGAACCTCTGAGGGTTTTCTGTCCAGTTGGCAGGTCAACAGAATAGTCCGGCAGACAACTGGACTTCTGCACAAGCTTCTCAGGTACCACGTTAATACATCTTCATGCTCTTCGGTTCCCTATCAAAAGCAGGTGGTTATGGGCACTGTACTCGGTGCAATGAAATACACAGAAGATCACCAGGAAAATTTACCATTCAGGTTTGGAGTTGGCAATAACAAAGGAAGCCACTCACCCCAGGCCCGGAGCTAGCGCTGTTGTAAATGCAGACCCTGTCCTTGGTCCGAACATGGATCTGTAGATCGTTCCATTCTTTGGGGCTCAGCCCCAGGACCTGCTGCACCTGTTGGTTCCTGCACAGCACCACAAACTCACTTGTTCCATCTTCTATGAGGATCCTGAAGGCAAAATTGGGGTTTGAAAGAATCATGAGATCACTGGAATTCAATCATGCAGCATTTATGTATATGCAATTTATGTGTGCACATGCATATGCACACACAGCTGTGTACTAAAGATCTATTAAACGGCTCAGATAAGCTTACTGAAGCCGCTTCTGGTCAAAAACAGTTCAATCCTTTTAACATTTCAAAACTGTTTAAACTTTATCTTTATTTGATGTTATGTCCATCATTTTAAATTGTGCAACATTCAGATACAAAAGAATAAAGGAAGAAACGAAGAAAGCACCAAATTATTCTGATTTAGAATAATGGTCTGTTTACCCAGCTGGCTTATTCTGCCCCACACGTGGAGAGGGTAAACGATAATTAGGAACTTACTTACTTTGGGCGGCAAAGCAAAGCACCGCACCGCAAAACCAAAACACACATTTAAGTTGGGAATGACATGGAAATTTAATTTCAAACACATTTGTTCAAGGGTGTTGAGTGCTCCAACACCGGAGACATTCAAGAGAAACATAGACAACCTCCTGGCAGATATTCTTTGATTTGTATTCCTGCACTGAGCAGGGGGTTGGGCTCGATGGCCTTGTAGGCCCCTTCCAACTTCATGATTCTACAATAATTCGTCAGGCAGTGTTTCATGAGATGGGTTAGTTAGTACAAGAGGTTTCCTGGTCAACCTTGGTTCTGGATCCTCACATCACCCTGCCCTATATCTTCTCTTTTTTGTTGTTGTTGTTGTTGTTGTTGTTGTTGTTGTTGTTGTTGTTGTTGTCGTCGTCGTCGTCGTCGTCAATCAATCAATCAATCAATCAATCAATTAAATTTATATGCCGCCCACACTACCCAAAGGTCTCTGGGCGGCTTACAACATTTAAAATACAATAAAATTTAGAACAATTAAAATATATATAAAAATTGCCATCGGACCCACAGCAAATATTATTTCAATTAAAAGCCTTCTGGAACAGGAAGGTTTTGACCTGGCGCTGAAATGTCATCAGCATCGGCGCGAGACGAATCTTTAGAGCAGTGGCTCTCAGCAATGTTGTCAGGCAGTTACTAGTACACAGAACAGGAGAAGAAGCCTGTTATTTCTATGCTCCACTTCTGGGCTTTTTAGTAGTGAGCAATGAAAACTAGTATGTTAGACAAGACAATCCTTTGATCTAACCTAGCAAAGTGTATTCTACTGGTTTTCAAACACAACGCAAAGACCGAACAGCCATTACATTCAAATCCTGAAACTGACTATACAGAATATACACAGATATTGGATTATAAAAACCCAAAGAAGGATTTCAAAGGCAAATCTGCAGAATCGCTTCTGTGACATTTACCTGGCACTTGCCTTAATCACCGCTGTACGGGACAAGCAAGGTGCGTTGTTTTGGTTGCATCTCCCCTTGATGGAGAAAAAGAGAGAGAAAGCAGAAAAGGATGATGTCAAACTCAAGCAGGTTCTCCCTGAAGTGGTAAGCATGCACATCAATACAAGGTTCACACAACGGAGTGTTCCTCCATTAAAATAAAAAGTCGGTGAACATGCAAAACTAAAAATTTCTAGTTTCTAGTAAAAAAAACACCAGATAAATCCAAAGATGGTCTGACAGACGGTACCTGGGTGAATGAGCTGCTGCAGAGGGAACAGATTGCGTGCAAGGACAAAGACAGGACACATTTCACATGGCACTTGACCTGTATTTGGCACAGGCCAGGAGGCTGGAGGGCTATATTGAACAAATATACTCCTGAGAGGATGGAGGTGGAACTCGGCTGACTAGGAACGAAAAGAGAAAATAAACACATGAGCCAAATGTAGGGGAGAGGTAAGTGAGGGGTGCATTTTATTCGGGGAAACAACCAGTGGGGGTTGGTCCTTACTCGGAAGAAGAGTCTTTGGGTGGAGGAGCCAGGACGCATATGTAGCTAGAGGCAACGTAATTACAGTAGACCTTGCCGGACCTGTAATTTAAAGAAACAGAAGTTGAATTCTAAAAAAAGTACTACCGTTGTACCACCGAGGGGCCAAAACCCCACCTTGGTCAAGCACTGACACTCTTTTTGTGCCTTTCCTATGTGAACAGTGAACTCAGTGGCTCCCTCCCAGCTTAATGCAGTGGTACCAACTACAAAGCACACAATTTTTGGCACAACAGCTTTGCTTTTATGCAGCAAGGGGATTAGCACAGGCTTGGAGATTAAAATTTATATTGCTTTCTCCAGAATTCACCTTTCCCTTATTTTCCCAAGAAATATATCACGACTTTGTTTTAAGCATAGAATATTCAGTTCTTATGCCATCTGTTCAACTGTCAGAGAAAATCATTCAGATGTGAAATATGGGTCTAAGGGATGTCTCGGAATCTAAGAATCCCATTACTGGTTAGGAAAAAAGGAACAGCCTTACCTAGAGCGAGAGCTTGGTAGCCAAGCATTTGCTTCTACTAGCCAACTATGAAGTTCAGTCCCCGTACAATGACACAAAAACAAATCTCAGGTTGGATAAATGCCAAAAAGGCAGAAGGCATTTACTTAGTGGTAGGAATGCAAATTTCCTTTCACTTTAAGCCTATGACGCATTCTACATTGTTTAACCTTTCTTCTTTCGGTCCGTTTTAATGTGCTTCTGCTTTCCTGATACACAAATACGTCTGTTTCACAGAAGCTCAAAATCTTAAAACAACATGGACATGACTGTGTCTTATTTATTTTTAATCCTGCTTGTCTTGAGTGAATAAGCGTTTTTCAATCTGTGTAGCTAAAGGGTAAAGACAGGAACCTTGAAGAGGGGAAGGTTCCCCCCCCCCTCTCTCTCTTTTGTGTGTGTGTGTGTGTGTGTGTGGCTTATAAACGCAGCCAGAGAGGGAACTGGATGAGTGGGTTAAAGGACTTCTTGAAGCAAATCGGGGCCCCAGCATGCCTAAAAGGAGGCACTTGTGAGACCATTCTTGAAAATTTGTCCTTGAACCCCACTCTACTGGATAACTGCCACCTATTCTCCAATGTACCATTTTTGGGCAAGACACTAGAGTGCATGGCAGTTTCTCAGCTCCAGGGGTTCCTGGATAAAGCAAGTTATTTGGATCCATTTCAATCCAGTTTCAGACCTGGTTATGGATGGAGATGTCTTTGATAACCATGGGGGATGTGCTGTGTGTCAGGGTCTGGACATGGGTACGGTGTCCCTGTTGGTTCTGCTGGACCACCTCTCTAGGACGGGACTTGGGAGGCCCTGTTTTACAGCGCTTCGGATCCTTCCTAGGCAGGAATTCTCCGAAAGTGGTGCTGGGGAGGGGGGAGTGGGGGCTCCTGTTTGGCACCTGGCCCATTAGCCTGCGATGTCCTTCAGGGTTCTCTTTTGTCCGTCCTCAATGCTATTTAACATATACATAAAACCATCAGTGGTGCCTTGCACAACGAGTGCCTCACACAACGATAAATTCACACAATGATGGCTTTTTCTGAAAAATTTGCCGCCTCACACAACGATGTTTCCTATGGGGAATTTTTGCACAATGATGTCTCTTTTCCCTCATTTAAAAGTGCCTTAAACTGTTTGAAAGCTGTTTTAAATGTCCAATGGCTTTCAATGGAGAATAAAGAAATTCACCAAAAATTAACGAAAACTCAGAACACCACCAAATTAAGTTTGCATAGGTTTCAGGAGGTGGGCTAACGATTGCAAGCATTTAAAACAGGTTTCAAACAGTTTAAGACACTTTTACAGGAGCGAAAAGGGACTTCGCAAACCCATTCAAATGCACTGAGTCGGCTTCAATGCATTTCGATTGGGGAACCGCGTTTCCCTCAACGATGTTTCCTATGCCGATTTTCACTTAAGGACGGCAATCCGTTCCAATTGGAACGGATTAACCGGTTTTCAATGCATTCCTATGGGAAATGGTGTTTCACAGAACAATGTTTTCACAGAACGGGTTTTTTTTTGGAACCAATTAACATCGTTGTGTGAGGCACCACTGTACATAAAACTGTGGGGAGAGGTTTCCAGAACTTTCGGTGCCACCAGCATGCAGAGGGCACGCAAACTCTATTTCTGCTTTCCATCTAACTCCAGGGAAGCTATTTTTGTTCTAAACTAAATTCTGTTGTCAGGACTGCCCTGGACAAGGGCAAACAGACTGAAACCAATCCAGACAAGACAGAGGCGCTCCTGGTCAACTGAGTGGCAGATCAGGAAATAGAGATCCAGTCTGTTCTACAGCTTGAGTGAATGCCTGGATGCTCAGGTATAACTGGTGGTCAGGAGTACATTTACCTAATTAAAGCTTGCATGCTAGAGACATCCGACTTGGCTAGGAGGACACTTGCCTTAGTTACATCCCTCTCAAATCACTGTAACACACTCCATGTGGGATGGCCTTTGAAGACATATCTAAAACTTCAGCTGGTTCAAAATGCTCTAGTCAGGGGTAAGGACAAGGGTTCCGAGTTCAGACATCCACATACCAACCAGCAGATCACGTATGTTATAGCACACCTGGAGATTTTGCGCTCTTGGTTCTGGAAAAGAATCCTGGCTCCTGGTAGCATCCCCCAAAGATCCGGCAGGAAGGCAGGTCCGACGTACACATCCAACAGAGCTGGGGAACCAGCTGTAGGTGAAACACTCAGCTTCACAGTGTAGCACCAGGGTGAGAGGTTCCCTAAACATGGAGGGACAACACTTTGAGATCTCAAGCCATAGACAGCCTAACGAGGAAAGGCTACTTTCAGAATCAGAATTAGCCCTTCAGAGGTAATCAAAAGTGGATTTATTTCTCCCCTTGCAGAATCATTCTCTCACAGCCATACATACTTGTGAGGGGGAAGCTGATTTACACACAACGATGCTCATAAGTCACTTCGACTCAAACTCTTTCCAGTAGGTCCGTATTCTTACCTTTCTTCTTCAGAGAGCAATCTGTGGCCGATTTCTTCCACAAAGGCGATTCACACAAACTCCTCTCCATGACCTCTCCAGAGAAAGAGGCCAGGGATTCTGTAAAGCTGACGAGAGGGAATAGGTGGCAGTTCTGTCAAGTTGCTCAAGTACTCGAGAGACCCCTCCACCAGATTCCCAAAGTGACCATACGTTTGTACCTCACTCATCAACCCCATCAGAAGATGGGACTGGAGCCAGATTTAGAACAGTCCTAACTGGATCTAGATTTAGAACACAATTTAAAGGCCACCTGAGCAGATATACTGAATTTGGCTGCCGGAAGTGGAATCCAACAGCAGATATACTGAATTTGGCTGCCGGAAGCTGCGTGGAATCCAAACCACCCCTCAAGCCTAGAAATATTCAAAATCACTTAGAGCAACTCTCACCCAGGCCGAACCACGCAGGTATAGGGGTTCTATCCCCAGGTCAGAGGAGGTTTGGATTGGACAAGGCTTCCTTCCTTCCTCCTCTTCTGCTGGCAGATCTTAGCCATCATGGCAGACTGATCTGCCAGCAGAGGTCAACTAGCAGAAAAATGGTTCTCTCAGTGGGAAGCCATGTATGGCAGCAGAACAGGCTTGTACCTCATCTTAACCCCCTAGAGTTGGTCATCTTTCAGCGAGCACTGTGCTGTTAGACGTGGGTAAGACACAAAATCACATCAATTTCAGCAGGTTTGCTCTACGTGTGATGACACCTCAGCCCACTTCATTATCTCCATGTTTCCTGATCCTCATGGGCCACAGCTTGTTTACTTACAACATTTGCACGTTGCCTTTTAAAAAACATTTTAAATTTCACCCCAGATTTCCACATGTGAAGCATTTAAAGCTATGGGGTGCTTCAAAAAGTAAGAAAGTAAAAAAATGGCTAAAAGCTTGGCTCAGATCGGTGTAGATCCCAAAACTGGATTTTATAAAAACTGTAAAAACAGCACCAGTAGACAATAAATTGCTGAAGCACTGAAGAACTTGGACTTTTTCCCTCCCCTTAATTCACTCCTCGTTCTCTTCAGCCTGACGTGCCCTTCTATTTCTTTCTCTTCTATTTTCTTTTCAACTTTTCATGGTCTTTTGTGGAAAGACTTGGCATACGACAAATGTAATGGGGTGTTTTTTTTTATATATACATCATGCATTTGCAGTGGGGGGTGGGGGAGGCCAGATTCGAAAGCCATTCATTTTTTTTCTGATAAGACAACCAAATACTACAGTACAATTCCTTCAAGTCAATCAAGACTAAAGAAAGGTAGGGCTAGCTAGGCATAAAAACAAGCTGGAACCATATTAGAGCCAAGCGTCAGGCCCACTCTGCTGTGGATTTACACAATGCTGGCTTTTTTGACAGACTGATAAAGGCTTTTAAGGGATGTACACGACCACGGCAAACTATGGGCAAAGTGGACTAGAGGACTTTAAGAAGCTACCTGAGGCCCTTTTAAGGAGAAAGATGGAACAAAAATACTTTAAATAATAATAAATAAATAATAAATTGTGCCGGGGCAAGTTGTGCTTACATTCTAGACTAGAGCACACATTTTTGCATCCACAGCCACAGGTTAAGTTGGAATTAAAGGCCAGAATATCATCATCATCATCATCATCATCATCATCATCATCATCATCATCAATCATCATCATCATTTTTTTAAGATGACAAGAGTCATGACATAAACATTCCCTGTTGCAACAGAAGTAGTGGATAGAATGACAAACGAAGACTCTGGAGACCAGGGTTCGAATCCACAGTCAGTCATGGGAACTCACTGGGGGAGTAGAACTGATAAAAGGTAAAAAGGTAAAGGTTCCCCTTGACATTTAGTCTAGTTGTGTCTGATTCTAGGGGGCGCTGCTCATCCCTGTTTCCTAGCTGCAGAGCCAGCGTTTTTGTCCGTAGACAGTTTCCGGGGTCATGTGGCCAGTGCGGCTATACATGGAACACTGTTTACCTTCGCACCAAGGTGGTCCCTATTTATCTACTCGCATTTTTACATTATTTCGAACTACTAGCTTGGCAGGAGCTGGGACAAGCGACGGGAGCTCACTCCATCGCGTGGATTTGAACTGCTGATCTTCTGACCTTGCAGCCCAGAGGCTTTTTGCAGTTTAACCCACAGTGCCACCACGTCCCTACAACTGATAAAACTCCTCCTTAAATATCTAATTTGCCTTTCAAAACCCTGTTAGGGTCACTATAACTTGGTTGTGACTTGACAGCATGTAACAACAAGTACATTACAGAACCTGTTGCTTATGAATAATGTGTAACATTACTATTACCACCTTAGCAGTACATATGATAGAGGAAAAGCCAGCATACCTAGGACTGAGTATCTCTGCAATCGAAAACTCTTTTTGTTTCATCTTCGACACTGGTGAAACCAGCTGAAAAAGAAGTTTAAAGAATCTTTACTTTCTCCTTTTTCATCAAACTTCTACTCTAACTTGACGGCTAGGTTCCCTGTCATGACTAGGACTTCCTGCATTGACTACTCTTAATTTCCCATCTAATCCAACTCAGGAGCCAAAAATGTGTGGCCTGCAAGCAGCTCTCTGCTCCCCCAAAAAGGTCTGGCCACTTTTCTCTACCATCCAGAGTGGCACCAGGGGAAAGAGACCTTGGGCAAGGACGGCAGAACAGGAGAAGCAAGGTTATACCATCTTCTGTTGTTCAGGAATCCTGAAGAGGTTTCGCCCTGCATGTAGCGTTATTACATGTTAAGAGACCTTGGGCAAGGACACCAGAACAGGAAAAGCAAGGTTATACCATCTTCTCTTGCTCAGGAATCCTGAAGAGGTTTCGCCTTGCACGTAGCGTTATTACATGTTCAGTCTCCCAAGTGGTGGTGGGAGCAGTACATCCCCTCACCTCACAAAGATTGCCTACCCCTATTATAAATAACACAACAAAAGCTGAACAGACATAAGCAGAGCTAGCGTAGGAACCTCCAGCATCTGGGCCTGCAGAAATTTGGAACTGCGGAAGAGCCTACCTGAGAAACCTGGCTCACGTGGTGCAGGTAAGCATTATCTGGGACAAACAAAAAGAAGGAACAGCTCAGCAAATTCAAGAGTCTCCCAGGGGCCAGCGGGACACAAAGTTTGTCAAACACATCCAGATCCTGGAAGAACAAGAGCATCCGAGGGTCACCACAAAATAAAATAAAAGATTGTGCAAGAGGAAGACAGAGACATTTTAAAAGCTTTTTAATGAAGTCTGGGGAGAAGTCATTAGATGACTGATAGAGCAAGACAAAGGTCTGGAGCAAGGACCAAGCCCTCATCCTGGGACAGGAAGGTGGCAGGCTTAGGGCGAGAGGTGCAACAGAATCTGGAACCAGGATTGCTCATGCTGACCAGGCGTATAAAGTTCCCTTCCTACTTGACCCCAAGCAAAGTAGCAGAGTTGCAGCAGGTTGCTCCTTCTGGCTTCACTCTGCCAAGGCCCAGTTCACTGCCAACCAAGACAAAACAGCAAAGACACTCTCTGTGTGTGTGTGTGTGTGTGTGTGTGTGAGAGAGAGAGAGAGAGAGAAGGTCAAATAATTACAGAGTGGACTGGAGTGGTTTATTGTCATCCACTGAAAATGAACTGCCTGTGTTTGGTGAATATTCATGTTTGAAAAATGGTCTGTTCTGGAGAGTTTGTGGGGGATTCCCAGAGAATAGCGTGGAGGAGGGGAGGCCTACCAGAGGAAAAAAAGGAAAGAAGGTATGAAAATAGTCCCTTTTTTTAACGCATGGAAACTTCCATTGAAGCAAAAAGCCTTCTTTGAGAAGGGGGACACAAGTGGATACAACTGTTCATATCCGTAATTTTTTTAAGCAAAAGCAAGCAGATTTAAAATTGGAGAACCAAACACATCCAGATCCTGGAAGAACAAGAGCATCCGAGGTTCACCACAAAATAAAAGATTGTGCAAGAGGAAGACAGAGACATTTTAAAAGCTTTTTAATGAAGTCTGGGGAGAAGTCGATAGATGACTGATAGAGCAAGACAGAGGTCTGGAGCAAGGACCCAGCCCTAATCCTGGGACAGGAAGGTGGCGGGCTTAGGGCAAGAGGTGCAACAGAATCTGGAACCAGGGCTGCTCATGCTGAACAGGCATATAAAGTTCCCTTCCTACTTGACCCCAAGCAAAGTAGCAGAGTTGCAGCAGGTTGCTCCTTCTGGCTTCAATCTGCCAGGGTCCAGTTCACTGCCAACCGTCACAAAGACAAAACAGCAAAGACACATGACACAAGAGAGAGAGAGAGAAGGCCAAATAATTACAGAGTGGACTGGAGTGGTTTATTGTCATCCACTGAAAATGAACTGCCTGTGTTTGGTGAATATTCATGTTTGGAAAATGGTCTGTTCTGGAGAGTTTGGGGGGACTCCCAGAAAATAGCATGGAGGAGCGGAGGTCTACCACAGGAAAAAAGGAAAAAGGTATGAAAATAGTCCCTTCTTTATGCATGGAAACTTCCAGTGAAGCAAAAAGCCTTCTTTGAGAAGGGGAAGGCTTTCACGGCCGGGATCTAATGGTGCTTGTGGGTTTTTCGGGCTCTTTGGCTGTGTTCCCGATACAACTGTTTATATCTGTAATTTTTTTAAAAGCAAAAACAAGCAGATTTAAAATTGGAGAATGAAAACGACAGATTTTCACCCACCCTGATAAGAAAACAAAGCATCTGAGCAATGACTGATACAACTCATGTAGGGTCCCTGTGAAAAAGCACGCTGTCACTCTTACCGAGCACTCAGGGAGGATGAGCTGGTACACATGATCAGGGTGCAGAAATGAGAACCAATGGAGCAATTTCTTCCGGAACACAAGCAATACCTAAAATGAGAGCAGCTGAGTACATGAAAACGGCAAGCAAGAGAGAAAAACCAGCTTTTTGCAGCCAGCATAAAAGACAAATTATGTTCCAGATACACAGTGCAGCTTTTGTGCCATTCACACTTTTGAGAGGATAGAGAACAAGAAACAGCCGCAGAGCTCTGATTTAAATGTTAGAGAACAGACAAAACAGATTTAAGATATAGGGCAGATTTAATATCAGACAATACCGTGTCAGTTCAACAGTAAAATCCAGTGTGGAGAGCAGTTTAAAGAATGCTTAAGACCTACAGCAATGTTTTATAAATCCACCAGTATCAATGAAAAGTCAAATAAATTCAAGCAATTTGTAATATAATCCTTGATTCAATACATGTCTCAGTGCTAACAATGGAAGCTCCTGTTAGATGATTCATCACAGTCACTTTAAATAATTCTAGGTTTGTAATCAGCTGTTGCTTCTTTTCATGTGCCAAGATTATAAGATCTTTGGATATTTAAAGAGGAATGGATTTTTCTAAAGTTAATTACAGGTAATGTATACCAAATTAAAAATTAGTCAATTTGTATTAATTAGCTCAGTAAAGAAATAGCATAGCCTAAACATATCCATATGTACCTGTAGGAGTTTATACCCACTTTTCCTTGATACTGTTTTGGAGTTACGGCAAGTTTTCCACGAGGACTTCTTTTATTCCTACCAAGCACTTAAGAGTAATAAGTTGAGACAAACCTCTGTATAATTGTCTTCTACTGATGTCAACCACCTTGGGTCCTTCTTAAGGAAAAAGGTGAGGTAAAAACATTCAGGAAACAAAACAAAAACTCTGAAGCAGCAAGAAGACAAACACGATAGCCAATTGCTTTGACGGGCAAACCGACCATCCTCTCTGTGCTTTCTAGAATGTGTTTAGAATCCAATCCTTCAACTCGATTTTGCCCGTGACGTGCCAGCTGCCCTCTTCTTCTGTGACCTCACTTACCTTCTGCTGGCCTTCACTGGCCTCTTCCTGACCCAATTCCTGTTGGCCTCCAGGGTCTCCAAGCTCCCCACCCAGCTTAGGTTGGCTCATCCACTGCACGGTGGCCTGAAAGCAAAGATGGGCTTCCCGAGCAGCACGCTTGTCTTCTGAATGTTCCTGATAGTTGCGCTCCAGAAGCCCTTCCTTTTGGGTCACTAAAAACAGACGGGAGACAGAACTGGCTTTCTGAACTTCGCTCTTGGCACGTTCTAGTGTGCCGATATCTGGGATGGCCCTTCCCTTGTCCGAAATGTTCCTTTCTGGGGCTCTGGGCTCAGCTTCTGACATGTCATCATCCTTTACCCCAGAAGAGGTGCTCTCCGCGGCTTTGAGATGCCCTGGCACTCTATTTTCAGGAGCATGGAGTATCTTCATGTCCTCAAAACAGAACTGGACATAGAACCTGGGGGGAGGGAGAAAGGAACAGAAAGGCAGCCTGATTAAAGTTTCTGGTCCAACAAGAGAGGGGAAAAATGTAGCTGACGTCTCAGACGACAGAAGCTGTCTATAGTTTTGATTACAGCAGCCGTGAGAGAGGTCCTAGGCATTGAGACAACAAAGATGGCACACACACAACCCCAACACTCTTGTTCACTGACGTTGATCTTCCTGGCAAGAAATGGGAATCCATAAGAGAAGGGTTTGTGGCCTGCTTTCGCTCCATCTTCATACAGTAAAACTTCCTATTTATTGGGAAAATTAGCCAGGGCCCTTGAAGAAGCTCATGGATCCACAGCTTTTCTAAAACAAATAGACTGAAGTCATGGGAAAGGCCTTTGAAGAATTTTGCTGCCGCCGCCACCTCCCCGCCTTGCCCCAGCCAACACTTTTATGGGCCATTTTCTTTTCCCCTTTTTCAGGGACCCAGAAGGGTCTCCCACATTAGGCCCGTCAGGCTATTCCCACCCACGCCCGGTGTGCTTCAAGGCTCCACCGTTACTTTTGGGGGCTCAAAACCAGAGACGGAGACTTGCCTTGTTTTCTTTTCCTTTATATACTCGTGGGACTCCAGCTCCTGCCAGGAAGGGAAGTCACTTTGAAGGAATCGCTCCATGACCAGCTGAAATGTCTCTATCTGCAGAAGGCATCCTGTGTAACCGTAACAATAATAGAAGAGAGGCACCGTATCAGGTTTTAATCCATGGATAAGCACACTTACATAAATCTGCGAGGCCTCACTGTGCCACAACATTTTCCTTCCCCTCCTCTCCTCGTCTTCTTTCTGCTGAGACAGACTAAGAGAGCTATCATCTGCATTTTTAAATTTCCTTGAGGGAGTCCAGCTTTCCATTCCTAACCTCCTCATATAAACCTACACCACAAACTCGGGAAGCACCGAGCAGATGAAGGGAGCGGGAAAACACCGTAAGATGCATCTACAGGAGCCTCCCTGTGCTAGACACTGCCTAGTAACTATTTAGGCAATAGTCTAAGGCTGGGCAGGATGAGTCTTCAGTCCGCAATGGGGCATACAGTAATAGTAATCCATACCCCTGGTGAGCCACAAAAGGAAAACTCCCTCCCAAACCCACCTGTTAATCCAGGACATGGAATGTCCTAGGGAAACCATCAAGGGAACCAAACTGGAATCTGCCTCCCCTTAGAAAGCAAGCCATGGCCAGTTTTTCTGCTAAAGTGACACTGCAGGGAGGCGTGCATCACCAGACGCTGCTTAGCATCCTCTCTTTATTCTTCTGGACGGCTGAAAAGAAGCCAAACTGCAGCTGGGCAGAAGGGTTGACCTTTGCCTGCTTCTTTCTTTTTTTAAGAAATTGAGTTTCTGAGCTGAAGCCCAAGTCTCATTCCCACCCCCTACACATCTCCCCTGTACCATAGAATGTAGTCTCAAAAAAAAAATCAAAACAAATTAGACATGAACAAACCTATCAGAGATGTATCAGCAAATGGTCTGCCATCTCTGTGGAATATCACACAGGGAAGTGCTTTAGTTCTGTCCCGTAACTGGAGGCAGCCTCTTCTGGAACACTCGAGCGCCCCCAACAATACCTACCCACCCCAACGAAAAGGGAAGTGGTGGGGGGGGAGGGAAGAACATAAAAAGAAACAAACATTCAGTGCTCAGCTGATGCCTCTCTGTGTCTCCTGTGAGAACAAGAGCTTCTCACACATTCCCCAGAGGATGTCTCCTAGTAAGAATATAAACAGCCTTTCCAGAGTCCCCAATTAGGGCCCTTCATGTGGCTTTCCTCAGCCTATATGTCGGAAGGCCCTCCCTCCTTGCAGCTCTGGGGAAGCGACGTTTCCCACTTACCATCCGAGGCTCAAAGCTCTCTGCTGATAAAGTGCTGTAGGACCAGGCCAACCCACGATTTAGTTCCTGGGCGCACATGCTCTGGGTCTCTGCTGCTGAGCTCAATTGCTGCCTCGGATTGAAGGTTTCCCAGCATTTCTTGTCGAGCATAGAGTGCAGCAGGGAGAAAGGTGGAATCTGGCATGGCATCTCCGACATCTGAGCCTTAGAGAAAGGAGGTAAACAGTCAAAGGATCCCACCACCATGAGGAGCGAGCTCCGGGTTAAGGGAAGGGAAATTACCTGCTCTATGGGACAGTGGTGGGTTTCTGCCAGGATTTCCTGATGGATGTTTCTTTCTTGTCCTTTGGATAGCACTAAAGAATTCAGAAGGGGAACCATAAACATCTCTGCTGCACCCACAGCATGGTAGCGTTGAATGAAGTAACAGAACCTAGGAAAAATTACAGAAGTGCCAATCAGGTTCCCTGACAAGCATTCACACACACACACACGCACACACAAAAGGAGGAAACAAACAGAGCAACCAAGAGATAAGAACATGAGACACACAGGCACAAACTCAAGGAAATTCCAGCTTGAACGAATCTGCCCTCTACAATAAAACTCTTTGTCCCTTTTCCCACTTTTCCAAAGCAAGGGTAGGCAACCTGGCATTTTTGACTACATGTCCCATCACTCCTCACCACTGGCTACGCTGGGTAAGGAAACATAAGATACGAAGCAGCTGGAAGGCAACAGATTCCTGTTTGAAAGTCTAGAAAAAGCCCCTCACCGACAGCTTGGTACAACTATGTACTGTATGTGACATTTCTAGTAGATCTTATGCAGGATTGGGACAGGATTTCAATATTAGTTTGTTATCTGAAATTTCTTCTTTTCTTGCAGTCTATCAAAAACTCTAAAAGGGTTGCAACATCTAATTGATTAGTTCTGTTAATTACAGAAAACTTCTATTGTACTAAGAAAGCAGCATTAATTAATGACAATCTTCTTCTCTCACACTGAACGGTATCTGCTCTGATGCACTTGTAAAATCTAAAATGAAAGCACTCTTCTCTCTTCAGTAATGCAGCTGCTGATAATATTTATTTATTTTTTAATAATGCTCCAATCTAACAGGTTCATATATCAAGGAAAAGTTGGTTCCATCAAGCAAGTTTCAAGGAGACAGATTTTAAAAACAGAATCATCATCATCATCATCATAGAACTGCAGAGCTGGAAGGGATCCCATGAATCAGGGAGTCCACCCTCTGTCAAGGAGGCCCAGTGGGGGAATCGAACTCCCAACCTCTGGCTCCAAATATTTCCCTAGCATCTTTCAGAACATTTGGCCAAGAAAATCACATTTCCATAAAACGCCCGAGTGCAGCAAGAAACAGCCACAAAGCACCAAGGTCTATCTGAAGAGAGACAAGACGTACACAATGTGCACTGAGAGTTGATTTCTTCTGAACAACACCTACCTCTGCTCAAAGGTCTCTAGCAAGTGAACCACCTGCAGATAGAGTGACAGGCTTAAATTATATTGCAGGAGCAGCTGAATGTAAAGATTTCCAAAGGAGGTAACAGGTTGATGTAATGTACTGTATCTTGAAAAGCTCTTTAGCACAACAGTGCTGCGCAAACAGGCTCCCAAAACTGGTAAGGAAGCAGTCAGCGGGTCTTGCAAAAGGTGCACATCTCGGAGCTGATACAGAAATGGATAGGTTAGCATAAGCTGAACATTTCAAAAAAAAAATTCCACATAGCTCTAGACAAAGATCAAAAGCTTTTGCCCTAAAGCCCGCCTACCTGCTGATATTTTGAGGGTTTCAGAGTGATCAAGGACAGTAGTAGTCAAACAGTGGTCAGTGCACCACCCTACAGAATAGGTTTTCACAACATATTTCCTAAAAAGGTTTCCATTATAACTATTTTCACAATTTGAGCTTGGAGAATGGTTATTTTTGCTTGTTGGAGTTTTCTTTGTAATAGTAAAAACTTGCTCCTAAAACAAGGCAGTATTATTGGAATGAAACAAAAGA